ATATAATATATATTTACGTATTAACACTCGTTTTGAATTTTGTCCCCTAGGGGAAACTAACACATGCACATAGCTGGCTCAGTTTCGTTGTTACTAGCTGTACAATTCTCAGGCGGCAATGGACGGATCGCGTGCCCCGCGAGTTGGTTAACGGCCAACCCCTGGCTACTCGAGATCGCGCTTTCGAGAGACAGGGCCGGGTTAAAAGCAATAAACGCAGCCATTCGGTCACCTTTGACCCGGTCTCTCTCGCGTTACCGTACATTCTCCGGTTTAACGCAATTATCGTGCCAAGACCTCCGCCCGCGAAAAAAGGTAGAGAAATAAATTAGATAAAAGTAAGCAAAGACGACGTCCGCTACTATTTTTTTTCTTCCCACCCTTCCTTTTCCTCGGTTGGAACTTTCAGAACAAAGTCGAGTCGCGTGAGAGAGGTTCGATAGAATTAGCACGAGTCCTTCTCAAGATAAACGAGCGAGGTCGTAATGAAAGAAAAGTTAACGATTACAAGGGAACTGGAAGATCTCGAGATAATTCGCAACCCCTGTTATTAATGAACGGCTGCATTCGCTGTCATTTCACTTCAGTACAAACTCGGCAAGAGCATTAATGTTATATTCGTTTCGTCGGACAGTCAAATACTTTTCATCTACTCAAGTAATGCTTCATTCTCGATCCCATCGATAACCACCAATTTCAACTCTACTTAATCTTCCTTTACATCAAAAGTTCATATCTCGAAACCATTAAATAACTCTACCCTCTTCTCCTCAGCTCAGTTTTTCTATCACGTGCACCACAATTGTATTTGAAATGAATTTGTTTTCCACACATCAATTTGTAATTGCAATTTATTAAATGGTAGCCCAAATCTTAAATTAAATCTCAAAGAATTGAGTCAGTCCATCACAGTCCATCCTTCAGAAATCGAAGAAAATCATTCATTTATTTATAAATGAAAAATAAATAAAGAAATGATTTTCTTCGATTTCTGAAGGATTATTATAAAAAATCATTAACTCTGAATGAACATTAAGGGTCCTTACATCGAAATGGTAAGAAGAGAGGAGCAAACAATACTTCAAACGATTAAACTGATGATAATAATTATATACGACAATTTCTAAAGGTTGTCACCACTTGATAGAAATAGTGTCAATGATTATTCATCGTACTTGGTAATTTATGGACTGCGATATGAATCATATAAAAAAAGAACCAGCTAAGTCACCGTAGATAAAACCTGCATACAGAACCGTTCGTGTTTGAAACATAAAAGACTGAAAATTCTTATACAATAATAATTGGAGATTTTGTTTTCGCTGAACAATCCCGTCTGGCCCTGTTATCTGTAAACCGTACCGATTAATAACAGTGATGCAGATAGTGGATTCTCGGAAAGAAAGATCGACGAAAGCCAATCCAATCTGCGGATACGTTCACGGTGATGGATACTCGGCATTGTGTGGAAATTGCACCATTTAATTACGTAGATCAAAGGGAACTGGGCCCGGCCGCATTTGCTTCGCCTCCATTCATCCGTTTTCGAACGCAGACATCCGGTCAGGTCGAAACGACGCGACGGTATCGCTTTTGCGGAAGAGACAGAGGCTTGCGGCTGATCACTCTCGAACCGTCTGGCACTGACCCCGCCTCCCGCAGCCACGGATTCCAGCTTGTTTCTTTCGAGATATTAAAGATGTATTGGCTATACAGTCAATCCCGAAAGTTTATGTACCTTAGAAAAACGCATTTCCTATAATTAAAAAGAAATCAGACGTCGGAAGAATAATGCTAATAATAAATAGCTACGTGCTAAAAAGTATAGAAGGAAATATCCAATTAAGTATTGACGNGAAGATTTCTTGAAACTAACGATGAGGGATTAGCAAATATTATACTAAGTAGATACAGAATTGTGAATGAGTCACACGATTCTTCATTGTGAAAAAGTATGTCACAGAAATGGTATTTAATTTTGAGGTCAATCTTGTCGTTGCCAGTCGACGGTCACGAAATATTTGTTGTGTCACAATTGGCTAGGGAAATAAATCGGTGGTATTGATATTAACCGAACTCGATTTAGATTGGTTCATCAAGAATTTATCGATCTACCAACGCATTTCTATTCTGTGCAAATGACCACGCGTATCCCATGCATTTTCATCAGTGCGTTCCACGAGCATCGTTCGACATTCAAACAGGAAATAAAATCCGTTCGATCGACTCAGTCCGTTCTAAGCTTTTGCAAGACCCGCTTCGAACAATCCTTTCAGCGAAGAGGACAAAGCCTTGCTTTATTAAAAGGTAATAAAAGATTTTTTTCTTCGATTTAAATGAAATTTTCATAGACTCCAATTTGCAACCTAGCGTATTTTGTAAAATATGATAGATTCTTATTTTTTATTTAGCCTATTTATTTTAGTGAACGATTTACACTTTTAATAAATAAAATATTGTGCAATTCTCACTTAGAATTCAGAAGCTTTCATGTTCATGTTAGTATACAATTTATCTTTTCTTTGTTTAAACAAAACGTTGTGTCCTTCTACTGATAAAACTTGTATACTTAGTGTGAAAATGACAGTCACGATGACTCAGCGTTTTATCTACAATTGTTAAAATTTAAACGACCATTCATATCCTAAAATACCAACAAAATAATTTTATTATCGTCCTAAAAAAAATCGACAAAAATTAGCGTGCATCGAGAATATTGCAATTCGCGAAAAGCACGTGCGAAATAAAATTATGATCTCTTTAAAACTTGGAAGAAATTGGAGGGGTACCCCTTGGAAAAATGTCGGAAAAATCGAAAATTGTTTTTTGTTGTTTATTATTAGCAATGTTCTTCCGACGTCTGATTTCCTTTTAAAAAATGTGTTTCTAAAGTGCATAAACTTTTGGGATTGACTGTATAGCCAATACATCCTTAAATGCTTCCGACTAGCAACCTCCGATGTTTACTATGTCGAACGTGTTTCTAACAAACGATAAACGATATTGAAATTAATTGAAAACGAGACCGGACGTTGACCCGATCCGAATCGAGTCACCAATTAACGAGGACGTGGGTACTGAAGAAATTCTCCCACCTCGGGATAATCTGTTGGAAAAGTGGCGTTTCATTGTTTGCGCACAGGAAGTACGCGTCACTTACACATGTATATCGGTTATGTAAACGATTGAGCAACGGAAACGTGAAAGTATAATTTAGCAGCATTGTCTTACTCTCATCGATGAGTAGTTTTAATAAGAAAATCTCATTTCTTATTCACGGTGGCCTTCGGAATTAAGGAGAATAAGAGCTAGCAATAATTTTATATTCCCAAGTACGGAATTATACAGGGTGTCCCAGAAAAAGTAGCCAAAGAGAGATGATTCTATAAGTGTCTTTGCATTTTATCAAAGGAAATTGTTGTTCAGAAACACGTTCAGAAACACTTCCGGAATCAACCCTTTTCGGCTATAACACTTTTTCTGGGATACCCTGTATAAAATAATGAGGACTTGAAGAGAACTGAAAATCCAAAAGAGAAAAGTCAAAATCTGACTAAATTGTAATGGCAAATCGTGGGAGTATATTTTTTTTATTAAATTCGGGGTAGAACGTGACTTCGATTTTTGTGATTAAATTGTAGGGTCAGGGATGAACGATTAAAAATGGACACCACCGATAATATTATAAGAATTAAAATTATTTGAGTAATTAGAAGAAATTCGAATTATTGAATTTGAATTCTTAAGAATATTGAATTGAAGAAAAGAAAGAGAAAGAAGAAAGAAAAGGAGAAGATTGAATTTTAAAGAAATTTAATACAAGTAAAAAATCTGCAACCCTAAGTCGACTGCAGTGAAGATTTCTTGAAACTAACGATGAGGGATTAGCAAATATTATACTAAGTAGATACAGAATTGTGAATGAGTCACACGATTCTTCATTGTGAAAAAGTATGTCACAGAAATGGTATTTAATTTTGAGGTCAATCTTGTCGTTGCCAGTCGACGGTCACGAAATATTTGTTGTGTCACAATTGGCTAGGGAAATAAATCGGTGGTATTGATATTAACCGAACTCGATTTAGATTGGTTCATCAAGAATTTATCGATCTACCAACGCATTTCTATTCTGTGCAAATGACCACGCGTATCCCATGCATTTTCATCAGTGCGTTCCACGAGCATCGTTCGACATTCAAACAGGAAATAAAATCCGTTCGATCGACTCAGTCCGTTCTAAGCTTTTGCAAGACCCGCTTCGAACAATCCTTTCAGCGAAGAGGACAAAGCCTTGCTTTATTAAAAGGTAATAAAAGATTTTTTTCTTCGATTTAAATGAAATTTTCATAGACTCCAATTTGCAACCTAGCGTATTTTGTAAAATATGATAG